GACTTTTGTATTGACTTTGCTCTGGCACTAAGCCCATTTCTATTTTACCATACTGTATGGCCCCGCTTGAGTTGAAGGAACTGAAAGAGCAGTTGCAAGATTTATTTGATAAGGGATTCATTACACCCAGTGTCTCGCCCTGGGGTGCGCCAGTGTTTTTCACGAAGAAGAAGGATGGTTTGATGAGGATGTGTATAGATTATCGACAGTTGAACAAAGTCACCATCAAGAACAAGTATTTGTTGCTGAGGATTGATGACTTATTTGATCAGCTTTAGGGTGCCAAAGTGTTTTTGAAGATTGATTTGAGATCTGGCTATTATCAGTTAAAGATTAGGGCATCGAATGTCCCTAAGACATCTTTCTAGACTTGGTATGGGCATTATGAGTTCCTAGTGTTGTCATTTGGCTTGAAAAATTCCCTAACAACATTTATTGACTTGACGAACTGGGTATTTAAGCCCTATATGGATTCTTTTGTGATCGCCTTCATTAATGATATCTTGATCTACCCCCGCTGTCGAGAGAAGCATGAGTAATATCTTACAGTTGTACTTTAGAATCTGAGAGATAGTCAGTTATATGCCAAGTTTTCAAAGTCTGAGTTTTGGTTGGACTCAGTTGCCTTTTTGGAGCATGTTGTAACTACCGAGGGCATTAAAGTGGATCCTAAGAAGATTGAGGCAGTTCAAAACTGAACTAGGCCTACTTGAGCTACAGAGATTCGGAGATTCCTAGGTGTGGCGGGTTATTATCGACAGTTCGTAGAGGGGTTTTCATCCATAGCAATACCATTGACTAGATTGACCTAAAAGGGTTCCCCATTCAGGTGGTTCGATGAGTGTAAGTTGAGCTTTCAAAAGCTCAATACTTCTTTGACTGCAGCCCCAATGTTGGTGTTGCCCACAGGTTCAGGATCCTACACTATGTATTATGATGCGTCGTGTATTGGGCTTGGTGCAATATTTATATAGGATGGAAGGTGATAACATACGTATCTTGGTAATTGAAGGTTCATGAGAAGAATTACCATGTTCATGACTTAGAGTTGATAGCCACTATTTATGCACTGAAGATTTGGAGGCATTACGTCGTGTCATGTGAGGTATGCACAGATCATCAGAGTCTACAGTATTTGTATAAGCAAAAGGATATCAACTTGAAGCAGCTGAGGTAGTTAGAATTGTTAAAAGACTATAATATTACCATTTTGTATCATCCTAAGAAGGCCAATATGGTGGCCGATGTCTTGAGTAGAAAGGCTGTGAGTATGGGTAGCCTTGCATATATTCCAGTTGATGAGAGACCGCTAGCATATAATGTGCAGGCCTTGGCCAATCAATTCGTGAGGGTAGATGTTTCGAAGCCTAGTCAGGTTCTTGCTTGCACGGTCTCTCGTTCTTTTTTGTATGAGCGCATCGGAGAGCGTTTGTATGACGACCCCCATTTTCTTGTCAGTAAGGACACGGTGCAGCACGGTGATGCCAAGTAGGTTTCTATTGGAGATGATGGGGTGTTGCAGATGCAGGGTCAGATTTGTGTGCCAGATATGAATGGGCTTCGTGAGTTGATTCTTTAGGAGGCCCACAGTTCACGGTATTCCATTCATCAGGGTGCCACCAAGATATATCAGGATTTGAGGCAGCATCATTGGTTGAGAAGAATGAAGAAATATATAGTTGCGAATGTGGCTCGGTGTTTGATCTTTCAGCATGTGATGTACGAGCATTAGAGGCTTGGTGCTTTGCGTTAGAGACTTGATATTCCCAAGTGGAAGTGGGAGCGTATTACCATGGATTTCGTTGTTGGGCTCCCATGGACCATAAAGAAATTTTACCCAGTGTGGGTCATTGTGGATAGGTTGACCAAGTTAACACATTTCATTCAGGTGGCGGCTACCTATTCTTCAACGCATGTGCCCTAGATCTATATCCGTGAGATTTTTTCGTCTCCACATTGTGCCCGGTGTCTATTATCCCCGACCGAGGCACATAGTTCACATCAAATTTCTAGAGAGCCGTACATTATGAGTTAGGCACAAGGGTTGTGTTGAGTACAACATTTCACCCACAGATGGACAAGCAGTCCGAACGCACCATTCAAATCTTGGAGGATATGGTACATTAATGTGTTATGGACTTCGGGGGTTCATGAGATTGGGTTCTACCGCTAGCTGAGTTCGCCTACAACAACAAATAACAATCTAGTTTTAGATGGCTCCTTATGAGGCCTTATATGGGATGCAATGTCATTCTCTAGTTGGTTGGTTTGATCCCAAATAGGCTAGGTTGTTGGGCACTGACTTGGTTTAGGATGCCTAGGAAAAAGTCAAGTTGATCTAAGATCGGCTTAGTACAAACCAGTCTAGGTTGAAGTGTTATGTTGATGGGAGGGCTCATGATGTAACAATTCATGGTGGGAGAGAGGGTTTTGCTTTGGATTTCATCCATGAAGCGTGTGATGACATTTGGGAAGAAGAGAAAGTTTAGCCCTAGGTATATTGGTTCTTTTGAGATCCTTGAGAGAGTTGGTGAGGTGGCCTACAGCCTTGCAATGCCACCCAGCTTATCGGCAGTTCACCTAGTGTTCAATGTTTCCATGTCCCAGATGTATCATGGTGATCCGTCCCATGTATTAGATTTCAGCTTAGTATAATTGGAAAATGATTTGACTTATGATGAGGAGTCAGTGGATATTCAGCCCGGCAAGTCTGGAAGTTGAGGTCTAAGAGTTATCCGTCTGTGAGAGTGTAGTGGAGAGGTCAGCTGATCAAAGTAACTATGTGGGAGTCCGAGTCCAATATGCGGAAACGATACCAACAACTTTTTGCCTATTCAGGTACTTTTCTATGTCCGTTCGAGGACAAACATTTCTTTTAGAGTTGCAGAATGCAACTACTTGATAGGTTGTTTTGAGTACTAGCCTTTATTTTCGTGTTCCGGGACCTTCATTACTTTGTTTGATGTATCTTTGTTTACGTGCGTGGTCCATGTCACTTTTTGAAAAGCTTCTATATGAAGTTTTGAAGAAAATCAAAATTTTGACTAAAAAAGAGGCTAGAGTAGACTACGGTCAACATTTTGTGTAAACAACTCCGGATCGGTATTTTGACGATTCTGGTAGGTTCGTTTTATAATTTTGAACTCGTATCATATGCATGGAATTGAATTCGGAGGTCCCTAGGTAGATTTGACTTGTTTTGCCGGAAGTTAGCAATTTGAAAGTTTGGAAATTTCTTAAGTTTGACCATAGGTTGACTTTATGGTTAAGGGGTTTGGATTTTGGTTTTGAGACTTGGTATAGGTCCGTTTTTCTATTTGAAACTTATCTGCAAAATTTGGTGCAAATCGGAATTAGTTTAATAGGATTCAGACGCTTAGTTGTGATACTAGATGTTCTTGAGAATTCCTTTGAAATTTCATTCATTTTAACGTTCAAGTTGTAGTTCAAGATGTTATTTTGGCATTTTGATCACGCGAGCGAGTTTGTATGATGTTATTACACTTGTGTGTATGTTTTGTTTGGAACCCGAGGGGCTCGGGTGAGTTTCAGACGCGTTTCAGATGAGTTTTGATAGTGTAAGGACTGCTGGTGTGTTTCAATTCTGGTGTTGGGTTGCAGGTCTCGCAATTACAAAGACCTGTTTGAAATGCAAACTCCGCTTTCTCAAAAGTTGATCTCGCAATTGCAATGGGAGACTGGGCAGGGTAGTCTTCCAATTGCAAAGAAATGTTCGCAATTGTGAACATCCCATGATTCGCATTTGCGATTGCTTGGTCGCAAATGTGAACCTTATAGACAGGTTCGCAAATACAAACCTTTGATCACATTTGTGGTTGGATGGGAGGCCGCATTTTCGATGTTTTTGTCGCATTTACGACTACAGTAGGCTAGGGACACAGTTTGTAATTGCAACATATTTCTCGTATTTATAATGCTCACAATTGCGAACAAGTGTTCGCAAGTGCGACATCTGCAGTTGTGTAAAAGAGGGACAAAACGAGACTTAGCTCATTTTGCACCATATCACAACCCTAAACACTCTAGAAGCGATTTTTAAAGAATTTTGTCTTCCTAAAATCATTAGTAAGCAACTCTAACCCACTATCTTTCAATTCCTCATTACTTTTCATGAGATTTCAATGCCAAATTTAGGATTTTCCTGGTAGAAATTAGGGATTTGGGTAGAAATTGCGGATTTTGTGAAACTGAGATTTAGACCTCAAATTGATATTAGATTTTAAAATAAATCACATAACCGGGCTCAGGGATAAATGGGTAATCGGGTTTTGGTCCGAAACTCGGGTTTTGACCAAGCGTGCTCGGGGCTAACTTTTGTTGACTTTTTAAAAAATGATCATAAATTAAACTTCTTTCATTAATGGGTTGTTCAAAAGCTTATTTTGAACTGTTTAATCGATAATCGGGCCGTGGTTGATTGATTGCTTTGTTCGTCGAGTGAGGTATGTGTTGTGTCTAACCTTGGCATGAGGAAATTTGGATTATGTGGGGAAATGACGTATATACGAGGTGACGAAAGTATATATATAGGGTTAAGCATGTGAGATTTGGATGTTTATTTCCATGTTTTCATTTATTCCACGGTACGACATCAGCGAAGAACTTCATAGACATCAAATAATCACGAGACAACAAGAAAAGCACTTATGTACAAGAAAAGCACTTATGATTGCAATTCAGGCAAACATGATCACCTAATGGTCTCTAAAGCCGATCATATTAGCATGATTTCATCATGTACCCCCCTCGTATTTCATACTAGCATAGTAAACATACTAAAAAAATGGCATAGTGTCATAACAATACCATTAATTGGAACCAAGTCAATATGATGATGTGGTCATGGCCATCAGTAGATTTCATTTAATTAACTGAAAAAAGAGCATAATACTACAAGCATGAAGACCATTTGAGCAAGACAACATGTTGATGGAGACTTCAGCTTGTCAAACAAGATGGCATGAAAGATTTTAGGAACATCATTCAATTAGCTTTAATCAACATGATAATGTGAGAAAAAGAATAAAATGTAGTAAGCATCTCTCCAATCAACAATGCAGTAGCATAGGCTAAACACAGCTACTATCACAGAGATTAATCAACTCAAATCAACATAGTAAGGTAACAAGATTAAGCTCACAATAATATTCAACACAATTAGTCAAGACATATACCTAATGGAAATAAGTGTTGAGGAACAAAACTCAATGACCATTGTGAGATATTGATGTAAACAACAACCTGCGGGTAAACATAACAACAAACAAGAAGCATCTGTAAGAAGCAACATAAGCAACGGAACAAATCAAGAGTCACATGTTTACTGAGGTACATCAGGAAGAAAAATGAGCAAGTAATCAACATAAAATGTCACATAAGCAGAACTGCATGAAAAAACATGAATAACAGAATAATTAGAGAAGGGGTCTATGGTTTACCTTCTTTGGAGCAGCAAACCAAGTAGAGGCAATCACTAGCCGTTTAGGAGCTTGATCTCCCAATGAACTCACAGTAGTCGAACTCGAGTAGAAAAAAGAAAGAAAAAATTAGAGAAAAACATAGAGTATTTAAAAAGATAGTATTACTAAGCTCCTTGGTTAGTTTATCTTGTTCTCAGTGTGTCTAGTGACAACATTAAAGGCTCCTATTTATAGCGGCCATTGGAGCCTTAGGGTTCATTTGAATCTGAAAGGATAGTGAAAGATGACGATTAAGTTACTGATGGGAGCAAAAGAGAAAAAATATGGGAAAATACAGGGGGAAGATCAGAAAGAAGTTACCTTGGCGTGAAATGATGAAGGAAATCGGCCGTTGGAACCAAAGGAGCATCAGTCAAAGCCCGTGTCTAGAGGCCAGTGTGTTTGACATCTGGAATAAGAATCATCATAATATAGTTAAGATTCTCATGAATCTACTGCTTGGATGTGTTGATTTGAACTACCAGGAGAGGAAATGATTATATTCTCGCTTGCACATTTTGGTCTTAGCATTTTGGTTCAATTTTGAGTGACCTTGCACGAATTCGTGCAAGGTCTCAGAGATTGATGGGTCTCTGGAGAAGAGAGAAAAGAGAGAGAGGAAAGGGAAAGAGGGGCGGCTGGTCTCTGAAGAATTGAATACGATATTGGGGGAACGGATAGTTAAAATGAGAGATGGCATGGGAGTTGTTGGATCACTTTGATCAACGGCTCCGGCTTTTTAGGGATAAAAGGAAAAGAAAGGGTTTTAATGGGATAAAACTAGAACCGTTGGATCATTTGAATACAACAGTTGAGATAAAACACTGGAGATTTACTAAAATAAGGAGAAATTAGGATTAATTGTGGATCGTTGATGATTTGGATCAACGATCCAGACGAGTTGTGTTTTCTCTATGAGTAATTAGAAGGTTTGACGTGTCGTGTGGTGATTGGTCAAATGTAAGTGGCGTGGATCGCCAAGTAGGATAGGGATGGGGGTTTACTGGGCTGGTGTCTTCGGCCAAACCCTTTGGTAGTCGGCTGAAAATTAATGTAAAGCATGGCCATTTGAATTAAACTAGTCAACTGCAATTGTAGCCCATTTAAAGATTTAGACCATTTTTAAAATTAAATTATTTAGACTTAATTAATTCTAGTAAAGTGTAATCAAATATAATTAATAAATGTATTGTTATTTACTATAATTAGTTAGTTTTAATTAATTAAAATAATAGTACTGGTCTATTAAATTATTAAAGCTAATTATTTGGTAAATTAAAGTAATAGAGGTAATATAGTTATAAATTTTAAGACTAAAATAATTTTAATACTTATTTATAAAATTACGAATGCTAGTTTTAATTAATTAAAGCGGTACAAGTAATATAATTATAAATATTTATTACTAGATTATTATTTGTTAAATAATTAATATTATTAACTATTATTATCCTTATTATTTCTTATTAGATTATTTATATGTTGAGAAAATAGGTATCGTTAATTTTGAAAATACTCCACGACATTTACTGTTGACCAACAAGTGTGAATAATTTAATTTAAATTGGGAGGGTCAAAATTATTCGCCAGCAGGTGTCCTCTTTGACCAGAGAGGATAGGAAACATGTGATGATAGTGTATAAAGCAGTAATAGGTAATTGTGGTGAATCAGTGATAATAGTATGCATAGAGCAGGTACACACATATTTGTAGGTTACAAATTCTCGTGAAGTGTAAGCAGATAGGACGATGTCACGACCCCAATTTCCCATCGTAAGATGTTGTGATAGCACCTAATCTCTACGACTAGGTAAGCCTAACATGCATAGAGAAATAGTGGAAATACTACTAAAACATTACATATAACCTTCACACTATAATAGTAAAATCAACAGTCTAATTGCCAACACTTTCCCCAAAACCTGGTGGGACGGAGTCACAAGCTCTACAAGATAGTACTACTACTCTCGAACTACAATATTGTTTGTAAAAATAAATAAACGGTGGAAATTCTAAAACAAAGGGGACTCCGAGGCCTGCGGTCGTAGAACAGGTATACCTTGAAGTATCCAGAAGCAGCTAGTCAATCAACCTCTAACGTTCGGCACGAGCAGACTTTCTTGGATTTGCACAAAAGATGTGCAGAAGCATAGTATGAGCACACCAGAATGGTACCAGTAAGTATCAAGCCTAACCTCAGTAGAGTAGTAACGAGGCGAGGTCAAGAATCCTACTAGGACATAATAAACAATAGGAGAACCTAATAACGATAAATAATGGAAGGCGGAGAAATAACTGATACGAAACAAGTTAATAACATAAGCTAGTAGCAAACTTTGAAAGTATAGAGGTAACATAAAGGAAGCTATAACGACCCGATAGGCTGTTTTGAGCCCTAGCGCGTCGTTCAGCAGTTTTAGGCTCTATGTAGCTTCACTTAAGGTATTAGGATTTGTATGTGTGGTCAAAATTGAATTTCGGGAAGTTCGGGGTAGATTTGGAAAGAAAACTCTCATTTCGAAAGCTTTAAGTTGGCAGAATTGACTAAGATTGAATTTAGTAAACGACCTCGGAATCAGGATTTAAAGGTTCCAATAGATTTGTATGGTGATTTAGGACTTGGGCGTATGTCCGGATCGAGTTTTGGTTGACCCGGGAGCGTTTCGATGCCTATTGTGTGAGTTAGCATTTTGAAAGAATTTCATAAGTTGGGTTGAAAAGCATTTTAGTGTTATCGATGTTCGTTCGGGATTCTGAGTCTAGAATAGCTCGGTATGGTAATTCTTGTATTGGGAGCGCGATCGGAAGTGGATTTGGAGGTCCGTAGGTCATTTTGGAGTTATTTGGCAAAAGCTAGAAATTTTAAGGTTTTTTGAGAAGTTTGCTGGAAGTGAAATTTTTGATATCGGGGTCGGATTACGATTCCGGATGTTGGAGTAGGTCCGTAATGTCAAATATGACTTGATAGGTTTCGGCATCGAATGAAGAAGTTCGAAGTTCTAAAGTTCATCAAGTTTGAAATGGAGTGTGATTTGTGATTTTAGCGTTGTTTGATGTGATTTGAGGCCTCGAGCAGGTCCGTGTTATGTTATGGGACTGGTTTGTGTGATTGGATGAGGTCCCGGGGGCCTCAGTTTGATTCCATGTGATTAACGGATCGAATTTGGAGTTAGAAGAAGAATTTAGCAGCCGCATTCTGGTGTAAACGCACCTGGGAAGCTTGGGCCGCAGGTGCGGAGCCGCAGAAGCGGCCCTATGGTCGCATATGCGATTTTGGTGGGGGGAGCTGGGATCGCAGATGCGGTCATCTCGCCCAAGAAGCGGGACCGCACCTGCGGAAGAGAAGGCGCAGAAGCGGGAAGTGGCTCGTAGCCCTGGATCGCAAAAGCGGTATTTGGTCCGCACCTGCAGGACCGTCGAAGCGGTCGCGTGACCGCAGGTGCGAAGGTCGCTGGGCAGTGAAGTGTTTTGAAAAAAAGTGGGTTTTGGCTCATTGTATCTCAAATCCTTCATGGGAGACAATTTTTGGAGCAACTTGGGAGTGTCATTTTCATCACAAAGCATGAGGTAAGTGGTTCATACTAGTTTTGAGTTAAATACATGAATATATACGGACTTGAGAATGGAAATTAGTGGAAATTGTGGGGTTTGGTAGGACACCTAAGATGTTATTTTTTTCTATTGATACTACGAATTTGGGCATGAAATTGAGAATAAATGTTATAATTTAGTTCGTGAGGTTATGGGTAAACTTTATTTTCAAAAAATATAGGTGAATTAATTGGTCATGTGCTCCTATTTGTGGGGGCTACGTACGCACGAAGTGATGAGAGTACGTGCGTAGCTGCTATTATGCTTAAGTCCGGGTAGTCTAGGACCCAAAAACATGCCTTACTTGAAATAATTGTAACCTTATTGACAGTTTGAATTGGCTAAATCATATCGAAGGGGTAAATGATTTCCAAAAAGAGTTAAACTTCGTTTTCTTGACTTGTAAAAGAGAAATTGACACCTCCTTGAACAATTGCTTCCCTGATGAAGTCTTGATTGACTGTTTGAATGTGTGTTTCTATGTGTACCTGCGTCGCATGTGTGATTCACGAGCGGGGAAATTCTTTAATTATATTTGACCGTGCTGCATGTATGATTCGCGAGCGGGGTAATAGATTCATCTATGGTTCGTGCCATTTGACCCTCTGGTAGTGCACATTTATTATTATGTTGGATCGGGTCGTACGACCTCGAAATGATTTGCGCATGCTTGTATTGCTTGCCTTGAGATTTACCAAATTTGATATTGCCTCCCTGGCCTGAGATAAATTGATAAATGATGAAATATAGGTTTTGTGACGAGCCGGCCGGTCGTCATAAGAATTAACGCCCCGATCCCCTGTTAACTGCTTCCCCTAAGTTCATTTCTGCCATTTTGGTTTGCCAGGACGTTCGGTGTTGAGTTTCGGAGAGTTTTGGGACACTTAGTCCCTAAATGAGAGCATAAGTGTTGAGAAATGGTCCGTAGTCGGAACCGTTAGCTCCGTTAGGTGATTTTCGGGGTTGGGAGCATGTTCGGAATGTATTTTGGAAGTCCGTAGCTCATTTAGGCTTGAAATGCCGAAGTTTGAATTTTTGAAGTCTCCGGTCCGATAGTGAGTTTTTGATCCGAGGGTCAGATTGGAATTCCGGAAGTTGCAGTAGCTCCGTCATGTCATTTGAGATGTGTGTGCAAAATTTCAGGTCATTTGGACGTGTTTTGGTTAGGTTTTTGATCGAAAGTGTATTTTGATAAAATTGGAAGTTCTTAGGCTCAAATCCTTGTTTAATTCGAGTTTCCGACATTGTTTTAGGTGGTTTAAGGATTGGTACAAGTTTGAATGTGGTATTAGGTGTTATTGGTTCTTTTGGTTGAGGCCCTGGGGGCCTCGGGATGATTTCGGGTGGTTAACGGCAAAATTTGAGAAGTGTTGCAGCAGCTAAAGTTTTTCCCTTCTGGTATTTTCGCTTCTGCGACTTGGGAACCGCAGAAGCGGAGCCGCAGAAGCGGCCTTAGTACAGCAGAAGCGGGTTTGGGCATAGTTTTCAGGCTCCGCAGATGCGGAGGAAATCCCGCAGAAGCGGACTCGCATCTGCGAGAAAGGAACCGTAGAAGCGGAATCTTGGATTTTCATCAGAATCGCAGAAGTGGCTTAAATTCCGCAGAGGCGGAACCGCATAAGCGGTTATTAGTCCGCAGAAGCGGATATTGGATCTTTAGTGAAAGTCGCAGAAGCGACTCATTTTCCGCATAAGCGGGACCGCAGAAGCGGTCCCTTATCCGCAGAAGCGGAAATCCCTAAGCAGATATAGAAATTTCGAGGGTTAGTTTTCATAAGTTAGAAAAATCAAATTGAGCTCGGGGAAGGGCGATTTTTAGAGGGTTTTGAAGAGAAGACTATTGGGTAACGTTTCATTAATCCCTTCTAGTTATATTTCATCATTTTGTAGTTAAATCTATCATTAAAATTCGAATTTGGGATCAAAAATTGGAAAATTGGGTGAAACTTCATAGGCTAACCTATTGGGTTTTTGAGTGGGTGTTTTGACCTCCGATTTGGGAGATTTTTATATGGTTAGACTCGTGAGAGTACGAGGGTTCTGAAAATATGAGAATTATTTGATTCCGAGGCGTTGGCCTGAAGGGCATTTTGGTCATTTTACCTAATTTCACGCCGTAGCTTTGAATTAAATAGCAAAACCAGTTGTTTGCGATTTATTTACGTTATGTAATTAAATTGAATAGATTTGGGCCATTTGAAGTCGGATACTCGTGGCAAGGGCGTGATTTCTAGTTGGTTTTGAGCCGGTTCGAAGTAAGTGGCTTGTCTAACCTTGTGTGGGGGACCTTTCACCTTAGGATATGATATTGGTAATTGAATGCCTTGTGCGTGAGGTGACGAGCGCGTACTTGAGCTAATTGTTGAAAAACCCGGTTTTACTTTTAATATTTAGACTGAGTTTCTTTCTTACCTGCTTTATTCTACTTGTAGTTATAGCCTGTGTTAGTTTAGAAAAGCATTCTTAGCTGACCTAAATTGCCTATTTGCTTAAGTTGCCTTGATTGTACTACGTGAAGCATGTTAGGCTAGAACTACTTGTTTGCCTTGTATTTTCTCGTACTCT